TGGAAGTGCCTTAAGCCTTGATTACTATCAGAACCGCTGTCGCCAAAACACACGCAAACAAAATGATAAATATTATGAAATCTTCTTACATACTTAAACTTACTTAGGGACTAATAAACTAAGAACAAACTTAAAACAAAACAAAAAAACGATTTGCTACGTTATAATGCTTGGATATGGACTCGCCGGGATTTGCGGTTAGCTGTAGGGATGAACAGTGAACACGTTCGTTTGCCCCGGTAGCTTGTGGCTGGGGTTTTGAACACGCGCTTGCGCGTCTTAGTAGCGGTCTAGGGCCTAAGGCGAGGGATAGCGCGAGACACGTGTGTTGCCCTTTAAGTCGGAAGCTATGTCCGGATATTGTCGAAGGACACACATCTCCGTCACTAGCCCCGATAGTCAGTAGAGGATGAGCTAGATATCCTCCGGCCCATCCAGTCGCGTAAGTTTCTCGGAACTGGACAAATTCGTTGGAATGTGAGCGTGCCTACAGCTTCGCCACCAAAGAGGAGATTTGTTAGTAGACTGTAAAGTCGACGGCTTACCGTTGGCAACCGTTATTTGCGCAATAGGCAACGGGAAGTGAATCTCCCTACAGCTCCAGTACCTATCTGGAAAATAGGGAGGGTACTGTACCTACACCCGGGGCTGCTCACCCAACTAGCCTTTTCAGAACTGGATAAAGTCTGTGCAAACGGGCTGACCTGGGATCAGGACCTGACTGAGAAGGTGCCTGTGCAGGCTTGTTGGCACGGGTTATAGTGCCCTTCCCGTATAACGATAGCGGATGATAGGGAGATTCACTATAAACAAATATGTAGAAAAGATATGGCTGTTCTGTGCCGGGCATTGGAGCTCGTTGCCAGCTATGTGCTCTCACTATTCCCCGTACAATGTTTATTACGTGTAGCGTAGGAATTTTACACGGGGATGAATATTCAGATTGCAGCTCAATGCGCCTAATTACGCTTTCTCGAAGTGGACTGTGTCCAAAATGGACTACAATCGTCCTCTTCAAACAGATGCATTGCCAATTTTGCCCACTCGCGTTGTGCCCATCTATAGTATAGTCAGACTATAAACGCCCTCGTCAAAAGGAAGCATTGCAAATTTTAAACACTCGCGTTGTGCCCGTCTATATATAGTATAGTACCTATATTTAATTAATTAGTTTATTTGTTTCTACGGTAATCCTCCACGATCCTGGCGTAATACCCGATGTACTGCACATAATATCCGATATACAATTAGTGATAATTTATTACGCAATTAATAACCGATACAAGCCAATGCGTACTTAATTTCACACGAACGGAAAACAAGCGTTCCCCCAACTAGACTGTCATTGCTTATTTCATTTTTATAAGGACTTATATAATTTAATAGCAGTAGAGCACAAGGAGTTTGTCCAGAGAAGTACCGTCACCATGCTTTTATTTCTGCCGCCGAGCAATAATGTGACCATTACCGCGTTTCGGCTTTGAACGGTAAAGGTGCTAGTGAAATTACAGGCACATGGGACTTCTCTTGGTCATGGGCGCAGTGACAGTTCCCCTTAGATCTTTGTGATTTAAAGTTCTAAGCGGCACTGCAGCGTTAACGTATTGATTGGATACCGACGTCCGAGTGCGCTCGGATCACGTGTTTATCACGTTCCGAATAACGTTCGTATAGAGAAACCTCGGCTTTATGAACAAGAGTGTCGCTTACCATCAGGTGCACCACATGGTCGTCCCGTCAATTGGTGTCGTAAAAAAAAGAAAAAGTATTAACTTACCGGATCAAGTAAAATTGTATTTATAAACCACAGAGCACTCAAGCAACTTAACAATTGTTGCCCAGTAGGACTAGCACGATAAGGCGCGACTTGCACGAGAGCGACAAAAAGCGCGAGATCTGTGTGCGAGAATAGCAGTATCTCGCGCTTTATGTCGCTCTCACGCTAGTCGCGCCTTAGCGTGCTAGCCCTACTGATCATCTGTATATCGCCCGACAGCTACTGTGATGCTCACAGACGCCAAGTCATCGTGGTCGTCAGTCTATTTGTATTATAATTCGAGAGAGACTTTTGTCGTAGTCATTTTCCCTTAAGACATTTTAAATTTCCACTGTCGATATAAGGGTATAATTTCGTTGATGTATCGAATTTTGAAATGTCGTAAGCGACATTTTGTAGAAAGTAACATTTTTCATTACGACAAAATATTCCTTACGACATTTCAAATTTCCACTGTCGATATAGGTAGTGCCTACTATTGATTATACTAATTGCCTAAGCGCACTAGCATTAAAACACGTTTTATAGTATACAAAACGGGAAATAGACTGTCCACCTGACGGTAATTGGTTACCATCACCTAGAGACGTTTGCGATATGTAAGTTCTTACGTGTTTCGTGACTAGTGCTGGGTAATAGAAAAATTAACGAATCTATTTACTTATCACAGAAGTCTACAGATTTTTATATTTTACACAAATATTTTTTATAACTACGCATACAACAAAATAGTGAAGTATTGGAAAGTTTCTGGAGAATTGCTCAACACTACGTGCCTGTAATGCGGTCGTTCTACTTAGTGTCAGATACACGGAAGAAAAAAACAATGGAAGTGCCATTAGGTCCCGATTAATACCAGAACCGCTGTCGCCAAAATGCACACAAACAAAATGATAAATACTATGAAATCTTGATAATGATCGTAGTTTCCAATTTAAAAAGATGTAACAAATTCTGGGCTGTTAAAACAATTTAAACTTTACCCAGTCGCTATATCGGTGAAAGTTCAATACCTTTATTGCAAGTTACGACGTTTTGATTTTCTATTAAAATTTTATTCAATGTGCTGCCATCTTGCAGCCAGTAGCTGAACTACGACGAACGACTAACACCTGAACGAATAGAAAGTAGTATCTGTTGTGTGACATGATATGTTGTCGAGAACAAACATATAACATCTTCTTTGATGCACAGATTGCATAATGAACTATATTTCAATCAAATAATTTTAAAATTAACAAACACGCCCGAGACGCAACTAACCACTTCTACTGTATTTATTGTTCTGTGGTTAGATATTATATAGGGCGATGGAACATGCCCTTTTGTCATAGCAGAAAAAGAACTTCTAAGTTGTCAACCTACTACGATATTCTTCTAAGTTCATATTCTACTATGCTTACATTAAGAAAATTTTATTCCAGACGCACTCTCAATCATTCATAATTCGTTCGCTTAAAACAGGATGTTTTGTTTAGTGTGTTGTTGATAAAGCGCGATTTACGATTAATAATTTCCGAGGAATTGTTGATAGTCTACACTTCTGCGGTCAATATACTTAGTGATTGTAATGAAATCTATACGGTCGATCGAATTTTTGTTAGAAGCAAACATTTTTTTAGATTCTACTAAAGTTTTTGTATGAATACCGATGTAGAGCAAGATTAATGAGATGCAAGTTATTAGCATCGCAGATTTCGCGGACGCTGCCTGGCCGCGTAGGTTTGGCCTTTAGTTTTATGTGAACGTTGCACCAGCTAGATCAGACCTGTGTACCAGGTCGCAAAGTGATTGTAAGTGGGCGATTTACGCAATGCCCGCTGTCTGCCTACCGCTTGGCGCCTCCACAAAGCCGCTTTACAGCCTATGAAACCACTCAAATGTTATTGCATACGTAAATCATTTCTTATCTATTACATGATGAAATTGTTCCCATCTGTCACTATTTAACAACTTTAATGAAAACGGAATGGCCATACGCCATTTACACGAAGAATTGGCTTGTGTCATTGCATTCAACTGGTATCCACTTTAGAACTTAACTGTAATATTACAATAATAGGCAGCTTCGAGTCGAAGCCTCCAGTGACCAAAGACGTCTATATTTGGGGAAAAAGTAGCTTGCGTATCCAAAGAGGATGCAGTGGCAGGCTCGAGAGCACGATGATTCATGACGTGGCCGACTCGGGTGCGGGAATTTTTGTAATGCACGAATTCTTATGAACCCTGCCACACTGAAACGCGAGGTCGCCGCGCGTCGGCCGCGCGTTTCAGTGTGGCAGGGTTCAAATAAGCTCGTACATTACAAAAATTCCCGGGCATTAAAATTAAGCCATATATAAACTCAGTAGTTCATGGAATTACATCCTTTTGCCAAGTTGCATTGAAATCGGTTACCGAAAAGTGTGCGAGACCGGATTCATCCCCCTAGTTTGCCACCCTTAGAGGTGGAATATTTTCTTCAAATTTTAATGGGACCAGTACAGAGGTACCCACTTACCAACCAAAAAAAATCATGAACATCGGTTCACCAATTTGTAGCGTAACATCCACCTCCTCCCTTTCTTGAAGTCGGTTACAACGATGTCATACGTCATAACAAATTATAAATAACAAACAATATAAGTAAGTCATCACTAGGGCGTTGCAATAGAGATTGAATTCTCTATATATAAACTTAGCTATTTATTGGTGGGGAATGGCAAAGCCGTTTTGATCTTCATTATTAGCTTATTTATTAATAATAATAACACACACACACACACACAGAGCCCTAGGAAAGCCCTGTGTCACGGGTGCCATGGACACACATATAGACAACCACAAATTATACCCAAACTCACGAGAAAAATTAACATAGACTATACAAATATTTCTCCCGGCTCGGGTATCGAACCTGAGACCTCTGCGTCGCAGACTAGGACGATAACCGTTCGGCCACATAGGCAGTTTAAATTGTTAAGATTTATTTATTACTGAAGATGTGTTTGGTTATTTAATTAGATTATTTATTTATTTATTGTATAGAGCCAATATGATGCATATACAACAATAGTAAATGTACAATACATTACAAAGTTTAAAAGTGTATATCTACAACCTTACTTATTGGCTAACACAACAAACTATACAGAATCTAGGATAAATGAAAACGAATTATTCAATTACTCTTTGTAAGTATAATTCCTACTTTCTTTACAGTTGTTTCTTTATTGTTTTACAGAGACGCTCTCTACCGCTTATCGCTGCGCGGTTTACGGATGTTGGAGCGCGCCGATTGGCCCGCGCCCGCAAATACTACGAATCTCTGCCAGGCCAAAGGGCAGACGGAAGACGACTGCCACAATTATATCAAAGTACTTCTCGCTTATGGCCACAAACTGTTCGCATGCGGAACTAACGCGTTCAGTCCGGTCTGCAGCTGGCGAGACGTACGTACTATCTTTTTATTCTATTCAGTATTTTAGTTAAATTTTATGTTCAAAGCACATATCGTCGGTCATATTGCAATTACGCGTAACTAGCATTTGATTATGAGTCTCCATTTCGGTGATTTAGTCGCCAAATCAAATGCGCTTAAATATAGTGGCAACCAAATTAGCGTGGTTTACGGGAATCTATTGTTACCAGTCCGTAGACAACATTAATTAACGCTTACTGGGCAAAAATTAAAGATAGCCATAGAAATAACAAAGTAATAACATTAAATACGTCTCCTGTGAAATTTGGTTTGTTGCAAATACGCGCCTTTTATCAATACTACATACGCGGACTTGCACTATCACCGACGATATACGTTGATAAGTACAGGTATATCGAGTTCTTAAGTTTTCGCGATTGTTACACATAACTATCGCGAAAACATATGAAATCGACCTTTACATATCCCTTGGTCACGGTTGAAGGTCCCGAAACGTCGGTTTGTTTGAAAAAACAAATATACGCGATTTAAATCCGGAAAAATAGTGTCATTTCCGAAATGTAGGCATGTTTAAATTAGATACTCAAGGTTAAATAAAATTCATACAACCGTATTCGGTCCAGTGGCAAGAATTTACTTTTCGACGTCTTTTGTAAATTCATTTCTAATAAGATTTAGGACAAAATTTTCTATCGTAATAACAAGTTTCTCATTGGTAAGTGTCGATTACTAATTACTTAATTAATAGGTTTTTGGTGTTCATTACTGGAGATTTAGAGAACTTCTAGTTCAGATTTTTTAAGGACTAATTATAATAGTTTTTTTATGAAACATTGCAGCGTAACCTTTCTTGAGGATTATATCTGTGAAGTAAACTAATTACTGCAGATGTATGTTTAAAAACGAAAAAAGTTATTTACAATTTAAAGACTTAGAATGTCGATCATGATGGCACACCCTATATGTACCATTAGCAAAAAAAAATGAAACTTATTGAAAAAGAAAATAAACCAATGCTCCCTTTTTGTATTCAATTACGTAGAAATTTTTGTAGGAACTTTAATTGATGTTGGTGCCAATTAGATTTCGTTTTAAGCTTAGCCCATTTTTCACTGCTTCTGTTATTTCTTGTCTCAGTGTACTTATAGTAAAAAATAAATCCCAGATGGAGTCGATAAGCCAAGTGTACGAGAAGGTGGATGGCGTTGCGAACTGCCCCTGCAGCCCGCACTCCAATGTGACGTCAATCCTCGCCAGCGACGGCGAATACTACGCTGGGACTCCAACGGACTTTACCAGCTCTGATACGGCTATCTGCAGGTAAGCAAAAATTATTACATTTATAATATTTTACATGGTACATTAAAAAAAAATATATTACACACTGCAAGAATACGTCAACGATACATTGAACTGAAACTACTAAAAATAAATTTAACACAAATATGTGAATAAAATGACATTGATGTAAATTACAAATAAATGAAAAAAAAAATCATTACATTGATAATAAAAATCATATATTTATTTATATGTTTTCTAAATAAGTAATATTTAATAAATATATAGTACAATAAATGCTAAGTGTATTTTCTGATTTGATCAATCTTATTAAGATACAGCCAACCGAAAGATACAGCCATAGTCTTGTAATGAGAAGAAAAAAGGACCGAGGGTTCTATTTGGGGCATAATAGTCAAGTTAGCTTGCATGTAATCATACTATTTACGTGCAAGTATGATGAAAAACATTGTAAGTTTCACGGCGGTACGGGAATTATGCAACTTGACTCCGAAATTACTACTCCGACTTGTAATAGAGTCTTTATACAAAACGTGCTATTGATAGAACTGACTTTTACACCTTTTCTTCCTCGAATTATCGATATGTCTTAATTTACCAACACGTCACAACTTCGGCAAACTCGTCTAACTTTAGTTTGTTAAATATGGTACCGCACACGCAGGAGCCGCGGCGCATCCACAAGACCAATTGACACCTTGCGCACTGCGCAATATGACTTGAACTGGCTGCATGACCCGCAGTTCGTGGGCAGCTTCGAAGACGACGCATTCATCTACTTCGTCTTTCGCGAGGTGGCCGTCGAGTTCATGAGTTGCGGGAAGGTAAGCCGAGAAAAATCCTAAATGGCACAAAGCCAATAATGTTTTTAATTTTTACTGATAGCATTGTGCAAGGATCCAAATGTACTTAATACATTAACACCGCAACTCAGAATAAAAGTTGTTTTATACAATTTAACCATAATACCACGCCCTTAGAGCGGTTGCACACGCCGAGTTTTACCAGCGCGTCTGCAGCGATTCAATCGCGATGCAATAGTGATGCTGTCGCTAAATTGCCTATCTTTGCATAAACATGCTGCTTAAGCAGGCTTAAGACACGATCGCGATGGAAACGCAATGCACCTTTTTAATGATTCTGCGTTTGCATCGATGCGACCGCATAATATAAATAGTAAGTGTCGTGGTGCAATCGCGCGTTTGTATCGCTGCTAAAAAGTTGCCGTAGGTAACTGGCTTGTTGTTAAAGCTTTATACTCTGTGTGATCGTAAATTCTGCGCTGGCGCGCCTTATATCGTCTGTTAAAGGTAAAACCACATAAGTGACATTTGACATTAAGCAGACGATATATTTATGATTGAAGAACTGGAGTCATTGGTATGACATCAGCACCAGAGCAATTTTCGTAGACGTCCTAGTTAAAAGGAAGCCTTTTCGTTGTAACTACAGGACCCACAGCAAAAATTGTGAATATTTTTCTCTTTCAGATAGTGTACTCACGCATAGCGCGCGTTTGTAAGAACGACAGGGGCGGGCATCTTGTGATGAGGGACAACTGGAGCACGTTCCTCAAAGCGCGACTCACATGTTCCGTACCCGGTGATGTTCCATTCTTTTACGACGAAGTGCAGAGCATGGAATACTTGCCACAGGAGAAAATTCTAGTCGCTACTTTTACTACGCCTACGTGAGTACTCAAATTAGTGCTAAATGTTCTAACGACTCCACAACAAAGTGTTAATAAGTGGTTTTAAAACTCATTAGCTTCGCCTCACGAAAATAAAAATTGTCTTAAAAATCGTTCAACGAATGGTGAATTATGGTAATTCCAATCATCCCTGCAACTGCAGCTTCATTCATTCCCAATTTTATAAAGAACAATGGCAAACTCCCATATAAATTTTTATTGACAATATTTGTATGCGTCTGTTAATGGAAAATATGTGAAAATATACTTTTCTTTTTTTGTTTACTATTCTGTGAAGTCTAGAATTCTTCTTCTTTGAAATGTTATGGCCCCATCGAAGTAATCGATGATTTTGCCAATGTCAAAGTCTAGAATTAGAGATATTCCAGTTTGAAGTCTTGGAGGCTATGTGTTACGTAATTGAATAAAAGAAGAATTAAACAGAGTTAATGGAATGGTTGAATGGTGCCGTTTTGTGTCGTGACGAAAGTTCAGAGGAAATTATTTTTTATATTGGTATGGTCAAAAGGCATGAAGTTAAAGCCATAACAAAAAACTGAGTCAAAATACATACCACAGACTGTAACACTGGTAACTCGGACCCAATTTATTTTTAGTGAAACTTGCCATCTATCCCTGATTTCGGACTTTTGTCAGTTTTATCATTTTCTCGCATGGCGTTTTGGAGAAGGAATTATCTGCTTTGTTTTTTGTAATGATGTAGTTAATCTCTTATTACAAATCGGTCGAATCAGTACATTTGATATTACATGAACTAACTTAATGTGGACCATATCCAGACGTAGGTACTGAAATTCTTTTTTTTTGCGGTGAGATGTCGCTCAACGTTACCAAAGTAAGAAACTGACAGTTGTAGATATCACTCCGGTTACATACTAATTAGTCGTTAGAGTTTCTTTTAAATATGATTTTATTTCCAGACTTAGATAGGCCGCTATTATAATTTGAAAAACCTAATGAATTTATTTTATTCAAACTCCCAATTAAGACATTTGAAGACGCTAACTAATTCTGTTAACTATGATTTTGCCATTGTTCTTTGTGCGAAAATTATGCTTAAAATGTAAACCTATTCCAGTAATAGCATCGCCGGCAGCGCGGTGTGCGTATATAACATGCCGGATATCCAAGCGGCCTTTGAAGGCCCGTACAAGGTCCAGAAGCAAGGCTCTACCGAATGGGAGCGCATCATTTCGCCCGAAGCCCGCGACCACTTCCGATGCGTAACTGATTCTAGGTAACAATACATTATTTTGTAGCCGATCGGCTTTTCGAAGCTCACACAGGTCTTGTGGACTTAGTCGATCCAACGATATTTAAGAAGTCCAACCGGCCTTCTGCCAGTTGGTTGCCCCAGATATGCTCTCTTGACTGCACGATCTTCACCCATCCTCTCGACGTCGGGTTGATTTGGTCTCTCCCATGATGTTAGGCTCTCTCGCGTGCTTCCCATATAAACCAATATAAATTACAGGCACATGGGACTTATCAACTTATATCTCAGAGTGACAGACGCAGTGGCAGTGTCCCTCAGATCTTTGCGATTTAAAGCTTTGAGTGGCACTGCAACTGTTATGGACAGGCGTGTCGCTTAACACCAGGCGCACGACTTGTTCGTCCTTTCACTAGGTATCGTAAAAAAAAGACATCAGCATTCAATGTTTCAGAAAAATAATAAGCTTTGAGATAGCCAAATTTCTGTAACTAGCTGGTGCTAGCGAAATTCACTTATAGTACAATTAATCATAATTTACTATGCCGCGATATCTGTGCAAAGCAAGCGAGCTACGTCAAAATGGTATTCAGCAAGGGCATGCACGATTGTTACTCAGTAACGTAGTATTAGCCTACTAACAATTTAATTTTAATTTTATTTTGTTTCTTGCTTTTGCAAATGTTGTCTGTTATCTTAAATTTAAGTTTTACTTTGTTAAATATCACTTACGGCAGAAGTATTGTATTGTAGCCGGTGGTGGGAGCCTGGAGATGTATCACACAGGTGAACACCTAGTATAGACTCCAACTCTTACCAAGGTTTTTCTTTCCTTAGTAAAAATTCAAGTTAGCTATTTATAAGTTTATTTGTGTAAGGACCTTGATAAGAGACAACGAAGATTAAAGATTTACGTCTTTTTTTTTTCAGAACTCACGAAGAAATGAAGTATCTGAGCTATCACCTAATGTATGAATCCGTACAGCCCATATCAGGAGAGCCAGTCTATAAAGCGATATTAGAACGCTTCACACACGTCACAGTCGATGTTACCACAACTAAATCTGGGAAGCAGTTAGTTGCGTACGTCGCCACTCAAAATAATGACATTTTGAAATTAGTCGTCTTGCCACGTTTCGATGGGGCGTGCCTTATTGAAGTGCTGCGAATGAAAGATGAGAAGAACAATTTTAACGTGTTAAAGATGCAGTTTGTTAAAGATACTGTAAGTGACGTTTAGTTATATCTCTTCTCAAAATAACTGTAACGATCCAATAAATCCAAAAAGCATTTTAGTTCAATTGCTGTAACATAGAAACATATGGACTAAAATTTGAATTCAAAATTCGGGCTTTGTAGCGTACCTATCACATACACGAAGTTTATCTTGTGATTTAACTAATTTATAAATTACGAAGACATAAATTAATACTAAAAATACACTAAATTAAATTCACAAAGACTGACATTTATGTATACTATCACATAAGAAGGTAGTGTATGGTCTATTTTAATTTTTAGATTTCCAAGTGCTTTCTGTATAGATGCCGCCTACTGCTTTTCCATAGAGAAGTATCATAAGCGTACTGACAAGTTCAATGAATTGCATACATTGAACATTTTATATTGAATCAAACCTAAGCACTATGGCAAGAAAAGTACTGATATTATTGTATACAGTCCATGAAAGGGTTAATAAACAAAAAAAAATGTGACAAAAACTAACAAAACTTCGTCCCACAGATGTCTATCTACATCGGCAGCTCTGCCAGCGTGTTGCGCATAAGCGGCGAGCGTTGCTATCGGTACCGTTCGCGAAGCGCATGCGCTGCCGCCGCCGACCCACATTGCGGGTGGGATGATGCACGGGATATGTGCCTACACTCGCATGATCCAGGGTACGCTGCCACTGTACTTGCGTGTCCTAGCGGGAACACTCCAGGCAAGTACAGTCTGTGATAATAATAATAAATTATAACAAATTTTCAAAAACAGACTCTTGACAGTATCAGTTTCTGTTTACTTGAGCAGCAAGTATGTAGAAAAGAGTATGACCCTGAAATTTAGCTTTTGTGGTATTTATATACCTGCCTATCTGTATAGCTACACAGCGATATTTATATAATCTCGCACATCTACATATTTCTAGCTTCTTTGTCATCAATTTATAGAATTTTGGTTGAAATATAATATTTATTTGAATCCCTTTTTGTCTTTAAATAAAGAAAAGCCTGAATATTTGTACTTTTCCTTAATGATATTATGCAAATAAAAAACTTACTGACCACAAAAGCTAAATTTTTTCCAGGGAAATAAAATTTCATGTTTTTACGATAGAACCTTATTCATTATAAAATGATATGGATACCGTCTGTCGATTAAATATGTCGACATTTCTTTGGCGAAAAATTTCACCCCTAAAACTATTAGTTTCTTAAATGATAGGTATGGCTTTAGCCATAGCTCTCTGGTTCATACTCTCCGTCAATATGGCCATTTGCTTTTCAGTGGATGGCGGGTGGTCGTCGTGGTCAGAGTGGGAGTCGTGCATGCAGGACGGCACGGCGCAATCTGCATACGGGGATCGACCAGACCTGTGCGCCTGTCGAAAGCGACGTTGTGACAATCCGCGCCCCACCTATGGTGGCCTGCCATGTGAAGGTACCAAATTCTAAATAATTTTGTATAATGGACTACAGCGATATATCTAGCTGAAATGACGTGTATGAAAAATAAAGACATTAAAAAACCTTTTAAGTTTTTTTACGTATATCAAATTATCAAATTCGTCTCTGCTAGTAACATATATGCCTTTTTACAAAATATTGTTATAAAAACTAAGGAATTTGTTTTATACAGGACCAAGCATATCAGTGACGAATTGCACTGTGCACGGCGGGTGGTCGACGTGGTCGGGGTGGTCAGAGTGTTCATCAACGTGCGGCATCGCGGTCAAGTCTCGCCGGAGGTCCTGTTCCTCTCCTGAGCCGCGCTTCGGCGGACGCGTATGTGTCGGACTCGAAGTACAGGACCTCTACTGCGCTAATCTACCGCCTTGTCCAGGTTCGTTAATTCTTTCGTTAGTTCATGATTGTACGTACTTAATGATAGCAGGGTAAACGAGAGAAATCCCGTTGATCATGAGGGAGTCGCACGACAAAACGATACCTCCAATGAACACTACGCTAACTTAATTTTTGGCCATGTTCTGGTTTTATTTTAGACTAAGGCTTAAACCTCCTTAGAGGTGACCAGTGCCCAGCAGTGGGACATATCAGTGGGTTGATGATGATAATGAACAAAATCGATTATCAAAATTCTCTTTCACCACTTTGGGAGTATACTTATACGGTCTGGGACAACTAATTGCTGTACAAGCTTATTATGTTCACCACCAATATCTACTTACTCACCTTTTTACGTTGTCAATAAAATTAAATTTCTTCAGTGATCAAAATGTTCTGCCTCTTCAAGCATAGATTCAAGGACAAGAAGTAAATTATAAATATTACACAAATTTTTAAATATTAATTGATCTTCATGGATTAACGAACACATATAGTTTTTGCCCCAAAAAGCCGGTTAAAACTGCAATACCATACTAAACCTATTCATTTGATTGTCCCATCCACTCCGTAAGTCTCCTCTTCAATATTTTCTAATAAATGCATTGCTAGGGTCATATGTTACGCGAGCGTGTGAGGATTAAATCGTCAAATGCGACAGATATCATTTTTTAAAGTACTAGTCCTCAAACATGCTCGGAAATTTTTGCATTACTTTCATAAAAAGAACCCTAAAAGTGTGTGCGTTCAACTTTTTGCATGCTGTAAGAAAATCCGTTACTGCCCTCTACTCTAAACTTTGAAATAGCTAACAAAGAGCTATGTAAACAGACTAAAGAAATACTATCATAAAGCCAACTGCTCACTAGCATTAGTGCCCGTAATTGTGAGCAATATAAAGTATTGTGTATGATATTACTTATATTACGTTTAATTATGGTGCACGATAATAATTATATAAAGAATCTGTATGGTTTCTACCATTGCCCTACCTTTGCCTTCCCAACTAAATGGGTGAAAACGTGAAAACTTATAAAAAAATATGGTGCATGAGTATACTTGCACCATATACTTTAAAAAAGGCGACAGAATAAACGAATTTCTTTTTGTATTTTTTACATTTTCTTCGCGAAAATAAGTTCGAAAGTTCGAGAAGAGCGAGAACGGACTGTACTCCGCCTAATTTCAAATAAGAAGCAAACTTTGTCATGGAATATTAATTATCTTTCATTCTTTAGTGTTTATTTCCTCGCATTGTTTGAGAAAAGCATTAAATACACCTCGGCGGGAACGTGGATTGCCTAACTCGTATAATACAAGGCCTAACTGCGTTCGGTTTTGTAAATAGCTCACAGTGTCCTGCAATCCTTTATTTTCCGGTCTCTGTAATAATGTACTAATAATTTCCAGATCCAGCATTAGCGCCTGTTGACGGCGGATGGTCAGCGTGGGGCCCGTGGTCTCCATGCACAAGCATGGGTGGCGCAGGATGTGGACCGGCTGCAGGGTGGCGTGAGCGTCGTCGAACATGCACAAATCCAGCACCAAAACACGGTGGATCTGATTGCGATGGCAATAAGCTCGACCGACAACTGTGCGACATGAGGCCCTGTGAACTCAGGAAGGCTACGGCTTGGACCCGCTGGGTGCAAATTCATAGTGAGTATTTAGTACGAGTATCTTTAATAGCACTAGAGCTCCTTGAGAAAGAGTTCGTTCAGGGAGGCACCGCCACCGTACCTATTTCTGCCGTCAAGTAGTAATGTCACCAGTGGTGGCTTGGTGATATTACAGGCACATGAGACTTGCCAACTAATGTCTCGGAGTGACAGGTGCAGTGGCAGTGTCCCTCAGATCTTTGCGATTTAAAGCTCTGAGTGGCACTGCAAAGGGCATGCGTGTTACTTGATATCATAAAAAAAAGAGTACTATAGCACCCTAACCGAGCTGTAATATATCAAACATCACTTGCAAAGTAAACTCTTATAACTATCTTCATAAAGCCTGCAGATTTTGAGACGGTGCTGTTACTGGTTCTAGCTTTAATATAGACGTATCAGAATAACATGACAAATGAGAAAAAATTTTAGCAAAGCCGAAATTTTGGGACTGAATGTCCCCAAACCTATAAGCGACTAGTTCCTATCACTTTTGCTAATGTCTAACCTAGACTAATACATTGGTTAAGTTTTAAGTCATCTTTTTGTGTATCAATAAACTCCTTTATTATTTTCCAATATGTACAAAAGATAAGTTTAATAATCAAATTCAGAACTTAGACATGGGAGACAGGACTCCGAACTATAAAAATCCTGTGCAATAGCATTCTTTAGGACCAGTCATAGTACAAGCCGTAAATTAAAATACATTCATTTGGTACAACATTAAACAAAATGAAAACTTACCTCTGGTTTACCTAGAGTCATAAACAGTAGGTATGTAAATAAAAAACAAGTGCTGATTTTAGAACACGTCGTATTTAGAAGAGATCTGAACTCAGCGGTACCAAATATATCGCACAGGAAACTAAATATTGTCGTAACTCAATAATGATGAAATTGAGAAAAGACGATTTGAAAATTAAAGTAAAAATTACTGGATTAATCTTTTTACGCATAATGGGTTTATTTTTGTTCATACTTGATAATAGTCCACTTATGAATGAGAATATAAACTTATCAGTTTCTTTGAGTATTTTTTTGAACTATCAAATCGTGTTTTCTCAATTCCATAATTTTTTAGTTACGAGTATTTGGTTTCATCATGTAGACAAGCGTTTTTTCCTAACGACAAAAGATTGCATTATGGTGAAATATATGTAACATATTTGATTATTATTGTCAGGCAATACATCAGACGGGAGCTACACGGAGCAGCGATTCAAATTCCTTTGCAAGGCGCCGTCATCGGAGCAGATCAAATTGTCGGTAGCACGCGAAGAAGAGCGGTATTGTACGTCACGAGGCTCTTGTACCACCACTCCACTGGAAGAAGATACGGGATGGGAACCATGGGGCCCCTGGGGAGACTGTTCAGCCCCCTGCGGAGGAGGGCAACAGATCCGCAAAAGACGTTGTCGAAAACAACAATGTACAGGACCTAGAGATATGCTTCGCGCGTGTAACACTCAGGCTTGCTCAGGTGAATATGTGTTTATGGTCACTGAAATACTTTAAATAGTTGAATAAAGAAGGGTATAGGAGTTAAGTAATAATAATAATAATAACGCACACACTCAACATAGCCCCACACTAGGGAAACCCTCTGTCACGGGTGCCATGGAGACACATAGACAGCAACAAATTACACCCAAACTCACGAGAGAAATAAATGTAGTCCATACAAATGTTGCTCCCGGCCCGGGAATCGAACTTGGGACCTCTGCGTGGCAGTCCGGCATGGTGACCGTTCGGCTACTGAGGCAGTTAAAAAAGTAATGTCGGTGCCAAAGCGCAGATGATTACAAAGTGTGTTTCTATTTTATAATTTCAAGTGACGGAACGAACTAGTCGTGCGCCTGATGGTAAGCTACACGCCTGTCCATAACAGTTGCAGTGCCACTCAAAGCTTTAAATCGCAAAAATCTGAGGGGCACTGCTATTGCGCCCGTCACCGTGAGACATAAGTTGACAAGTCCTATGTGCCTGTAATTTCACCAGCACCTACCGTTCAAAACCGGAACGCAGTAATGCTAATATTACTGCTTAGCGGCAGTACTTCCTTGGACGAACTCTATTGCAGGTCTACTGCTACTAGTCAGTGTTAGTTCGTTCGGCAGGAAGACGCTATTGGGCTATTCTAAGTTTCTTATATTTCTTTTTGAATAACAACGTAATCTCTTTTTTACATTTTAACCTGTCGCTGCCTGTAAAGTATGCTTTAATGTGTCTATGTTAAACCAAGGCGAATGGTCGTGCTGGAGCGAATGGAGCGAATGCCCGGGAGGTTGCGGTGCTGGAGCAAAGGACGGCGTGAGACGACAAACACGCACGCGCCAGTGCCTATCGCCCAATGGCTGCGCAGACGCCGGAGACGCTACTGAAAAGCGTGACTGCCTTACCAATTGCATTGGTCAGTATTCAAGAAAATTTTTACAACCTCAAAGGGCTTTGGTGGATTCCACATAACAGAAAAAATATACTGTAAAACATTGACTTACAAATAAATGGACGACGGGTCTAATACGAAAACCACGAAAAAAATGTCCCAAGTCAACCTATTCGAAATTTAAATTGTAATGTCATCGCAGTATCGCGCTGTCAGTAGAACAAATGAAGACTAAAGCGGAGTGTCGCGCTCTGTATACGATTTTAGCGCCTTACAAGTGCGGACACTTTTTAGCGCAGACCCGACGTCCATATAATTGTAAGTCAATGCTGTAAAATGAGGGTATACACTGATTACTATACGGTGTGAAAACATGATTCCTTAAAATTTTCACGATAGAAAAAAAACACAAACTTACGTCGAAATTTTACAAGAAAACTGCTGTATTCAATAGGTAATTTACATATACCTATGATATTTTTGTATATCAATTGAACTTAATAGAACACGTAAAGTATACGTATACATTTTTCACTTGGAAAAAAATAAATTCTAAAATAAAGCCAGTGAGCTGCCACTCGACTCTTGCAAGAGAACCTATTGAGTGCGGGAAAAAATTGAATTCGAGCTGAGATAGTATCGACTCTTAAGGAAACTTGTTTTTAAGCAGAGCAGGCAAAAATTCGTATTTTATAAAATAATTGCATATAATTTGTAAGGTCGATTTATCACTGATAAGAAAACGTTTATTCTCTAGAGAACGACTCTGACTGGGGAGAGTGGGGCGAGTGGACAACCTGCCAGAACGGCGAGCGGCTACGCCGTCGTAAATGTGCCTCGGGCGCCTGCGCCGGCGCACAGATACAGCTTGCTTCGAGCTCCGACGACGATCAACTTAGCAACGGTGTGTTTTCTTGTCTCCATGAATAACATTTCGATGCCCTACTTTCTCAACCACGTATCATATAAAGAGTGATTATTCAGGATAAGGCAAAACATTCTATTTATTTTAAATTTCTTATAAAGGGTGTTAATTTGGATGCATTACTTCAAGAATAGGTAAAAGCCAGTGTGTGAATATGAAGGAAATGTTATGTGAAATTAGCCCGCAAAAATTTGTATATACAATGCATTTTTTGCATTTCAGTTGCTTTGTGTTTTAAGATACGAGTATGAGAAAGTAAGACGGCGATTTGTTTATTTGGTAGCACTCTACTACCACCTCAACTTATGGCTACGAGTCATATCACTTTGTAAACGTTCCTGTGCGTATTAAAGATTTTTCATTATACCGCTCTCTACGAAACCCGTGTGGAAAGAGATGGCATTATTAATAATAAGTAAGAACTCGAAATGAGAGCGAAATTATTGATTTAAAAGCGTCATTAAAAGTATTACATTTTTAATTTTTTCAGATCTTTTCGCTCTGCCAGTATATAAAGCCCATGTGGAGAAGGCCTCATTTATTACAATGAGGGACACCTTGGGCTCCGGCGGCATTATCGGCTGCGTTGTAGGAGCCTTTGCAGCTGGTATGTGTTTATTTATTTCGAACACCAACAGTTTACACACAAATACATTTCATAATCAATATTCAGTAAGGCGCAGTTCATATGTATAAACAATTGAAGATTACCGTTTCACTAAACACACCGCACATGAAACCAAGTGCTGTCGTAATTCAAAATTGTGCAATTGAAAAAATACAATTTGAAAAGGAAAAATAAAATAAAAAATACTGAATGGATTTTATTGTGAATAATGTGATTATTTTTATTTATACATAATACTTAATTGTCATATATTAAGTATACTAGAGTACTGCAGCATAAAATATGGTCACCTATTTATAACAATCATATCAAAGATAGAGACGATACAGAAACGCTTTGCTTCAAAATTGGGATTAAGAAAAAAATTAGTAACAAATATACAGATAGGCTTAATCAATTCAAACTAGATTCGCTTTGCTACAAAATCAATTGCCAAATTTACTGGAAGACGTACCATTAAACATTTACAGAGATATGTGGTACCAGCAAGATGGCTGCCCGGCGCATTATGCCCGCTCAGTTAGAGCATACCTCGATGAGGAATACCCGGGCAGGTGGATAGGACGGTCTGGCACAATCTCGTGGCCAGCCCGTTCTCCAGATTTAAATCCACTCGATTTCTTTTACTGGGGAGCAATGAAAGAAAAAGTTTACCATAAACCAATAGAAGACTTGGCGGAGCTACGTGCGAGAATAGCAGAAGCAGGAGAATTTGTTAATAACGGAAGATTCGCCCGTTTAATATCCCGATCATTTCTCAAAAGATGTCGGGCGTGTATTGCAGCTGAAGGAAAGCATTTTGAACATTTGCTGTAATTTAAATAAAATCATAATTTTACTTAAATAGATTTTTTATTTAATGGAACTATCCTAAGCTCAAAGAAAAAAATAATGATGCCATTAATTTAAATTAGCGGCGTCACTCTCTATCTCACTCACACTTCGTAGAAAAGCTCTCTCCGTCTCTCTCATACTAGAATTATGAATCTCACACATTAGCGGCGTCACTCTCTATCTCACTCACACTTCGTAGAATAGCTCTCTCCGTCTCTCTCATAGTTACCGTTAAGAATTATGTCATAGTTACCGTTCCGAGCGAAGGATTGGGTACACTAAATAAATTTAAATTAAGAAATAAAAAGTAGTTGAAAACCGGTTTTGTTCACAAAAAAAATTATTTGACCATAATCTAAGAAATAAAGTAGCAAGTGTAATACCGTTTTGGAATCCTCTTAAAATGCGCCAACTTTTAAAGCTACTTGCCCAACCAGTGTAGTACATTTTTTTTTCGGTAGAGTGAGTTGAAATTGAACGAAAATTCAATTTCTCTTTTGATATGGGAATAATGTGTCATTTTTTTTCAAAATTAGAGCAGTTGTGTCAAAATTTTAGACGACTAGCTACAGGAGCATTACTCAGGGTTACAAAATAATCAAAAATTAAAATAAAGTGGAAATTTGTAGAAACGGGAAGTGAAAATGCGTCACAGGGTGTATATTTTTCGATTTTTTTCAAAATGGTCATAATTTTTAAAATACATGACATAGATTTTATTTTTTATTTTTCTGATAACAGTTATGACCTGGCCTATCACCCCGTTCCGGCTTGACGTCGCGTCCCGGGACACCCTGTATAGTCTTAAAATAAATACACCATCACAACGTATCTACACTATAAGGAGGATTTGCAGTAATTATTTTAATAAAATTCCAGGATGTTTAGTCTGTTTGGCGGGGGTGATCTACTGGCAGCGACGGAGGCCGCGGCTGCCTTGGCGGCGCAGAGCCCGCGTGCCTTCCAGTCCGCATTACATCACTGCCAAACAAAACAGCTACGTCACTGTGCCACTTAAAGAAGTCGTGAGTACTTACGTAGATGAAAAATGGTTGTGCTGTGACGTAAAAGAGTTAACGTAAAACGATTACGTTCAATCTCTTTACAAATCATATATAGCCAATTTTTATTATTTAATGGCATGACCTTAGCGTTGCTTAATATAGATTGCAGTACATTTTCTACTAAGTAGGATATGCAAAAATCCGCGTCATCAGAATTATAAACTGGGTTAAAGTTAATGTTGCAGGAATCTTCTTCAAGTGTATTTATATTGATTTTAGAAATTATTATATAAAAATATTGTAATTTCTTTCACAGTCGCGCAAAGCTAAACGCCAGCCCTCGTTCACGGGTATCGGCGGTGGTAGCGGAATCATCCTCTCGAAAAGCAACAATCTATCCAATGCCAACAACCATAAAACAGTTGTCACTCCCAAACTGTATCCGAAGGCCATCGCCAACGAATATGACTCCATGGGCACGTTGAAACGGCATTCTAACCAACCTAATCATAAGAACAATCTCGATATAGAAGAGGATAAGTTCTATTGAGTGTAACTTGAAAACGGTCGGGGTCAATTATGTTACTCGCTGATTTGTCCGTGCCGACCGCGACTCACGCGCTTCCTCGATGCAACCTAATTATAGTGGCTAATGAGTGTTGCCAACTACATATTTTGTGCCGCCCGCATACAGCCGCTGTCGGCCACCCCGCCCGGCTTGCCGCACGGTGGCCTACATTACTTTTCTTTGATGTGGTCGCCACTCTAGAACAAGTCTGCTCCATTGACCATCCAACCTCCGACCTTTTCTAGTCCGGCCCACGACCACTTGAGCCTACTAATTTTGCGAGCTATGTCGGTCACTTTAGTTCTCTGACGATTGACTCATTAGGGATTCGGTCCTGAGGAACTGGATGGGGTCAGGGATTGGATATATTAATACCTAACATAGCTCACTCGCTATACGACTAAGTCGGCACGAAAATCTGCGAGTAACTTTATTTTCTAGTTGGTGATTATTAAAATCATTTGTTATCTAATAATAGATATAATAGACATTCCACCTAGACCATGATAAATAAAAAGGACTTCATTTCCAGTGCATTGTTGTGACATTAGTGGACAATTGTGTGTGTCGGTCTACTACTTTGATTGATTTCAGTATAATCGACATTATATTTTAGTGATGCATGAACCTATCCCAGTGCTTTAGACACCTTGATGTTCATGTAGTCAGTATTTTTATAAAACATTATAATTAATTGTTTTATAAATATCGAAATGAATCAGGAAATTGACCAAGTTCCTTTTATTAACTTGTCAATTCTTAGTATACTAATTCATAGTAAGAGCTTAATAGAAGAAGACTAAAATTAACTAAGACAATAAATGAATAATAAAATAATTAATAAGAACTTATATTTAGAGAAATATTAATAAATATATTTTTCATATATACATGTAAACATTAATGTAATAAGTAGAACTTGTGTAATTATGTTTTGTATTAATAGACGAGTACCTTGCCACCGAAGTGCCAGTGTATGAGAACTTGAAGTTTGTATGACAGTGCGTTAGGCTTAAGTGAAGTTTAAACATATATATTGTTTGTTATGTACTTAAATGCAATGTTATGTACTGAAGATATAGAAAGGCTTTACACAACGTAATATCGTCTATAAGTGGATCGCATATTATAAATAGTTCACCAGTCAATTTTGAAATATATAATTGTGGATGGTGGCTTGTTATGGTGGTATGTCACGAGTTGTGTAACAGTATAATGGCGATTATGTAACACTTATCTATTTTTTTATTGATTATAATCAGTGATCGGGAAAAGGTGTTCCACATATATAGATGTATGTATAAATATAGCTACAAGGAGCCACATATTGTTGTTAAAACCATCAAATATTAATTAATTACTTCTTTCGAATTCTGGATTTCCGAATGAAACAAACTTCTCTCTTTATTTTATTTATGAATATAAATAGCCGTGCATAGGTAAGGTCGTCAAAAAGCGTTCAGCGGTATGTCCTAAAATTGCCCTCGTAAATAAAATTTTATTCTCAAGTTGTACTAGCAAATGTCGTCGTTTCGTCTTTGGTTTGGCTTTGGTTCGAATCCTGCCGGGTCGATGGAATTTTACTTAGTGTTCGATCTTTGTATGAATAATTATAACATTACATCATTGTGTTAATAAAACAGACAAAATCTCATGTTACTAAAATCGTGACCCACCACTTTAAAAGCAACTATCCGGTCTTTTTGGTTTCACCAAATAGTATTCCAGAACTCTACTCAATGCTCAAGTCAGGATTTGAGCAGACTTGAGTATGATTTCTAGTGCTTTCAATCATACTCAAGTTCTAACTTGTGCATTGAGTAGAGCTCTAGAATGCGACCCTAAGGTACAATTTTGCGATTGCATTTGGATATGACAACCCCGGTGTGGTGTAGTCTGGGTGTACCGGGCAATGCCCCGGGGTGAATAATTCCAGACAAGCAATTTGTGCATTTGTCTGGCACTTTATTACTATTATATCCGAAAAGATCCAAGTAAGCATTTAGTTTACGAAACACGAATGCAGTATACAAAATTATCTTTATCAATTTATAAAAAGATTCCAGGGCTTCCGATTCCAGAGTTATACATCCGAAAACATTGGTGAAAACAAACCCGAGCCAACAAAGCTGATTCCCGGCTTTATAAATACAATGTTATCAATTTCATTTCTAGATGACTTCTAGTTTGACTGGTCTACTATTAGTAGCTGCGCAGCGAAGGAAGGAAACAATATTACCGCTGCACCTTGTCAAGTAGATGTTAAACATTTGTTTGTGCTACAAGGTAAACCTGCTTATGTGTCGTTCTAATAGGTACCGAAACAAGTCCAGTGCCGTGGAGACTAGAATATGTTGAGATCTAATTAAAAAATAATTTTTAAATATTTGTTAGGACGACGGCACAAGCTACCGTGTGAAGCCTGTGTGAACAGTAGTGTAGAGTATACGTACATATACACGTGTTAGAACTCATTAGATGCTATGGACATATTGTATCTATGAACATATGCATAACCGAATGTACATTGTAAGGAACATATCGTATTAAAATTTTAGTACTATATGTATATTCAAAATGATCATAAGGAATTAAAAAAAAAATTTTTTCTTTTAAAACTCAAAGCATACTTGATTGGGCCTGAATAGAAATGGGCAGTGGGTTCTGCCCCAAAAGTATATACCGAATCCGAATTCCATGCTTATTATTAATAACGACGTAAATCTTTTTTAGACGAAAATGAGGCAACTCCACACATACCCACCTTGCATTCTGTGCATTATCACCACTAAGGATGCACGTTACGATTTGATTTTTACGAGAATCGAGTCAAGTACATACGGTTAGAACGTATTTTGTTTGTATCGATTTATTTCAATTCGATTCAATAGAAAGGCAAATCGAATCCTTTAGGTCAGAAAGGAATAAACATTTTGTAATAATAAAGTTTTAAGAGGATAAGTATAAATTTAGTTGCGACATCTTATCAGTCATTACGTGGTTGCCTTAAGCGTTAAACAATGGGAACAGTGAGGATCGTTGCACGACTCTAAACTACGGTCCCCGGGAAATGTTTACATACAATACGTAGTAGAGGTTAGTAGAGATGTGCGCGGACCGCAACGTCGTCGGCGGCGGCGCGGCGTCTGATGGTTTTTCGACCGGTTCGGCTTGGTAATCTGCGGGACATTAATTTTACAGGTATTTAAAAAACACAAAATCATTGTTGAAATCAATATTTGTATTCATTTTTTCAACGTTTTTTACACTTTAACTTGTATGTTAGCGTAACCTACATAAGTACTTCTACTAAAAATAATTCAGCTTAAAGAGTGTTTGTAAAAAAATAAAAAAAATTAATATCTTTATTTAAATATACTATAAATAGGATGTACGTTGACGTTCCGTAATTTAATTGTGCGAAAATATTGTAATGAATTATAGTAAATAAAGAACCTGACACTTCATTGAAGTAAAACATATTGTCAAGCCCGTTTTTGTACCGGTCAAGTTGATCGGCGGTAAAACTCGAGTGGAAAAATCGTCGGCAATGGCGGCGCTGCGCACATCTATTAACTAGTATAATAAATTACAACGGCGATACAAATTGACTACGCATATCATGTTCGTTAGTATGGGCTTCAAGCATATAGAAATGTTAGCAGTAAATAAAAAATCGCTATAAAGCCTTATAAGTGCCATGTAAATAATTTAAGATTGACATTATTGTAAATATTATTGTTTAACCACGCATAGCGATATATTTAGGCAAATATTTTTATCCATACAAGACTTATTGTTTTTGTTCTATTAATGGTTATTCAAATATATTATATTTAATAAGCTGTTTAAAATGATGATTCTGTTATTAATCATTCATTAAATTAAATTCATTTATCTAGAAATCGTTATGTGATATCAATAAATACGAATGTATGGGGAGCATTGGGTCAAAAGTTTCTACTTCACCCTATATGAGGTAGGCGCAAACCAATCCCAAAAAATTTGTTGTAACTTTAATTGTACAGACTTAAATACGAATATAATTAACTCGAAACCTCTTATACGGGATTCCTAAGATTAAAAAACAGAACCTTGGCAATACGATTTGTTAAGTACATTTCAACTTTTTCCTTTTCCTATGCAACGCGAGATTTCTGCGAGGATAGCAGTATTTCGCGCTTATTGTCGCTCTGGCGCAAGTCGCGCCCTGTCGTCTGGCCCTACAGCAGTTGTATCAACTCGAAATATATTTGAAGTTTTCAAAAGTAAAAAAAATTGATTGATTTCTCTTACCCAAAAATATCTATCACACGCCGCATTAAGAGGTTTCGGTTTAAAAACATATAGCTTGTTTTATAATTGTCATCGTGAGTCATGCTTACGACAATATATAAAAAGTAACAATGCATATTGATGTCGCGTTATGTCAAGTATTCACTTATCATTTTACGTATCGAAGTCACCTTATGTCAAGTCCCTACATCATTTTGCGTATCGAAGTCGCTTTATGTCTCGAAGTCGCTTTATGTCAAGTCCACACATTATTTTGCGTAGCGAATCTCATCTATGCGGATCGCTACCGTATCGATGAGATTTGACCGCGATCCCCTTGAGAAGCTATAAATATTTTAGTAGTAGGAGAGCTCCATGTGAATGTGTTCGCCCAAGTACTGCCACTTTACCTACTTCTGCCGCCAAGCAGTAGCGTGAGCATTACTGCGTTCCGGTTTGGAAGGGTAAGGGTGCTGGTGAAATTACAGGCACATGGGACTTGTTAACTTATGTCTCAGGGTGGCGGGCGCAGTGGCAGTGCGACTATTATGGGTAGACGTGTCGCTTACGTCGGCGCCAAACCTATCACTGGATATTATAAAAAAAGTAGACGCCCATATTAATAGTGATAGATCTGATATTGTATAATGTTACAAATATGAACACAACGTTAAATGTAATTGTTGCATGCTCTTCAACATTTCGACTCAAGTTGAATAAAATTTGTTAATTAATTTAGATTATTTTATATTTTTATATTGGAACACAATCTTATTTAATTAATGTACGTTTTGCCACCATATGATGTTCACTTGTTAAAAAACTAGTGCTGGTTCATCATATAAACTAAATAAGGATCAGCTACATAGGTTCGTCTGCACGCTTTAACATCGCGCCACTGAAAATTATGAATGATAACGTATTAAAAATCTGCCGAACAGTTCGAGATATTGAGATAACAGAGTAAATATGCGGACATAAGCGATGTTAAAGTAATAACATATTTTGAATTCTTTATTTAATTTTACATCTATAATCTTAATCACTAATTAAAATAATGTACTATGTAAAATATTAAAACTATTCTGTAAAACATATTTTATTCTATAATAATTATTTTAATTTTTAGGAAAGATGGTGACTGATAGCTGAATTTAATTTCTAGTGTGTACATTTATGGACCAAAATCTCATGTTAAATGTTTATATCGAAAAATCTCTTCGATTTCATTGACAAATGAATAAATTAATGTAAGACTGGTCTGCATACGTAGACCAAAGATAAAATATAAAAAATAATTGTAAAGCTATACGTCCAATCAATTTGTGGCTAAAATCGAGTGCCCGGTCCACATTTATATTATTCGGCAGATATATGACGCGTCATTGTTTTAGTGTTGTCATTTCGTACGCCGCTGATACGAGTGTGGGCCGGTCTTAAGATGTAAATTACGCGGGATATTTATAAATTTTGCATTGTAAGTGCCTTATTACGGCGGTTTATTTTTACTTGTCACGATCACGCAATATCAAGACAGCGAACGCGCAGTTCTGAGGGTATTTTTTAGATATGCATTTCTGACTAAAGATAGCTTAGCGAGCGTAAATATTAAAAAAAAAAGTTATTAAACTAACCGCGTCTATTGAGATTTATCTTCTAAGGGTAAATAGTTTTTTTTGTAGAGGCTTTTTCTCACCGACTTACCTGACAGAGATTAATCTTATTATATTTTGTCAATTTTAAGACTTCATATATGAATTCCATTTTTTATATTTCATTCCACATATTTTGTATTACTATACCAATGTTATAATTTGTCGTAAGTAGCTGTACTAACTACTTAATAAATATAAAGACTGTGATGTCTTATTTATTTTGTATTTTTATTATCTTTCCAATAACGTATGCAGTCTGTGTAATTCACAGACATATCTGTGGTCTAACTCATCGTAAAATCAGTTACCAAAACACACGTTTCGACCCCTCCTACTTAAAGTATCGTATGACGGAATTGTCAAGTTTACAGGGGAACGCTTTAAAGTTTTAAATTCTCTGAAATGAGCATACCACGTGACTGTAAACTTGTTAATTTCAACATACGATACTTTACGTAGGAGGGGTCGGTTTGTCATTACTATCAATGATGTGATCCCAAGGTATCATTATAGTTTGACAATGTGCTAATGGCGTTAAACTCTGTTGTTTTCACGTGTATATGAATATTAAATGGGGGCGGGGGACAACAGTGCTTACTCGAAATTATATTTTTAATTATGAAATCTATTTTACGTGCATGCGTATACAATTTATACTTCATTTGATCAATATTTGCTGAGCGACTGTTTTCATGTTAATGGCAAAGCGAATATTCGACTCAATTTAGCTATTATTTCGACGACCTCCGTGAATGAATGGTTTGCACACTGGTTTTCATGGTATCTCTACCTCTAAGGTCCCGGGTTCAATCCCCGACCGGTTCAATGCAGAAAACTTTTCGTCTCGGGTCGGGGTGTTTGTGGTACCGTCGTTGTTTCCGTTTTTCATAAGTATTTATATCTATGGTATCTACATAGTTTATTGTCACTTCGCGACGCACACGGCCGTCGTTCACTCGGCTAGAGCCCATTGAAAACCAGCGTCACAGCTTAGTCTTGGTTGTGACTTTAGCTGAATGGAATCTTTTTGCATAAGCTACAACCGCACACATCTGTATAGTATTATATAAGTATAACTTGTAGTTTAAATGTTGCTACGCTGTTTTTCGTGTTATTTCTGCTTTTATTTATATTATTTGCATTTTTTATAATGTGGCGTTTCAAGAAATGGTTTCTATTTCCATTTCTATAAGCCGTCGGCTAATTTCGTAAACCTTGCACCTCCATTAATGTGAAGTTTTGAGTAGGAACAAAATACAGATTTAATATTTAATGTATCTGCTAAGCGTAATCATAAAACACTTGAAAAAAACACTATATCTATACCTCTCCCTCGATTGGAACGGGGTTTGCCTGACTCGTATAATACAAGGCGGAGCACAGCGAGCTGAAATAATGTACATACTAAAAATATTGGCCGGACGGCAGTATCCGGTGAAAAAAAAAAAAAGATCTCGTATTACCACACAGCGACGTTAAGGCGAAGTTACTGGGTGAATTAAGGTTACTGGGCGAATTGCATGTGCGAAGCGAACTGTATGCAGTCAACACTCCAGACAGTTATAGTCGCGCGCCTTTTTTTTTAATAAGATTAAGTGACGGGACGAACAAGTCGTGTGCCTGGAGATAAGCGACACGTCTGTCCATTACAGTTGCAGGGCCACTCAGAGTTTTAAATAACAAAGATCTGAGGGGCACTGCCGCTGCGCCCGGCACCCTGAGACATAAGTTGACAAGTCCCATGTGCCTGTAATTTTACTAGCACCTACCCTTCAAAACCGGAACGCAGTAATGCTAATATTACTGCTTAACGGCAGTACTTCCCTGGACGAACTCTATTGGAGGTCTACTGCTGCTAGTCAGTGTTAGTTTATTCGGCAGGAAGACGCTATTGGGCTATTCTAAGCTTCTTATATTTCTTTTTGAATAACAACAAACAACAACAGCACCCTTGCCCTTCGAAACCGGAAGGCAGTAATGTTCACATTACTGATTGGCGGCAGAAATAGGTAAGGTGGCAAGTGCTTCCCTGGATGAACTCTTACACGAGGAGCTCTACCGCTACTGAACTACCGCGCCTATTTCTGGTACTCGGTGTATCCAGAACCCGCAGTGCTAACGGTTAGACCACTACTAACCGAGGTCATCAACACTAATGATTAGTTGTGTAATTAATTGACTAGTTGCGTAATGATAATGAAATGCAAATTTTTAACACACTTTTATTGAAATGATATAAAAAGTGCTATAAAATTGCGGAATTAGGTGTAAAGGCTTTTTTATTATGAACGTTGCATTCGATTGTGAAAAACGTGAAATGATTATTCCAAGACATTTCTGCGTTGTTACTGGTAAGTATTTTTTTTATAATATTAAGTGACGGGACATACCAGTCGTGCGCCTGATGGTAAGCTACACGCCTGTTCATAACAGTTGCAGTGCCACTCAAAGCTTTAAGTCGCAAAGATCTGAGGGGCACTGCCATTATGCCCGTCACACTGAGACATAAGTTGACCAGTGCCATGGGCCTGTAATTTCACCAGAACCCTTCAAAACTGGAACATAGTAATGCTGACATTACTGCTTGGCGGCAAAAATAGGTGAGGTGGCAGTACTACCCTCGAAGAACTTTTTCACAAAGAGCTCTAATGCTAGTATTTTGGGCTATAACTATTCTAGGCAATAATCAAAACATTAGCAGCTACTATATATATATATTTCAAAATTTCAATTACTGCACAAACATTGCATCTGCGAAGTCATTAACGACATAAAACACTTTATCGAAAAACAGACATAGTGCTACTAGGATGCCGTAAATGTAGTTATTGAAAAAAATATTGCATTTCTGCTTATTCCGTATGTTTTGTTGTCGTCACAGTAGATACAAACATGTTGCGAAGTATTTAATATTCTGTAAACCTTTCGTACTAAGCACTGCCCGCCAGTGACTAAACACGCATAAACAAACGTGTAATACCTACCGTCAAAACTTCTACTTCTACAGCGACAAATCCTTGCGCAATGTTCTATTTTTCTGGCTTAATACATTATAGTACTGGATATTGTAATACTGAGATAGTACACTGTCACAGGGACGGTACTTCTTTATTCCTTGAACAGTTTAATGCTTGAACAGTTTAAAGTTTAGTTTTTCCATTTATTAAATGCGTAACTACGCATTTAATAAATGGAAAAATTGTATTAGTAGCGTCACAAAATTATATTGCAGGTTTTTTGACACAAAATTAAAAAGAAAATGTAGGTAGTGTTTGGTATTTTTCCTATAATTCAGTTAATATTGTCGATTGTTACACGATTTGGAGGGGGCGTTGTTACTCGTTATTTAATGGACGCGACGGCACAAATAGGATATAACGTGGGTATATTAATTCAACCTATGCCAACATATTATTCCATGGGTATTACGCACCAACCACAGTTTGCAATAACTTAATTTTCCACTCTAGTGAAACAATGTATATTTCCAGTGTTAATCGTACTACAAACTGGAGTGGTGCTGGCCATGTATACAATTAGATATTATGGTATGTACACCACACGAGCACCTCGGACCAAACAACCACAACCAAGTAACGAGACAGCAATTGTAGATTCAGACGATTACTATCTAGGAGGTATGTGTTATGGACTAAATATATGTAACGTTTTATATGACTTGTCTGTACTATATTAGCATGGTATAATTTAACTGCCTCTGTGGCCGAACGGTTGCCATGCTATTCTGCCACGTAGAGCTCCCGGATACGATGCCCGGGCCGGGAGAAATATTTGTATGGATTACATTTAATTCTCTCGTAGTTTTGGTGTAATTTGTGATTGTCTATGTGTGAAAGAAAGAAAAATCAGCCAAGTATGGTAACTCCATACAAACGTAGCAGCACGACTTATAAGGTGCACACCCGCCGTGACGCGTGACGTAAGGACGCAAACACTCCAATAATCTCCCGGTATACCTGCGTTGCATATCGAAGGTCGGCGCACACACGCACTGTGTTTAAAAAATGACATCAAATATTAGACTTGTTTATTGTTGTGTTTGTAGTAACGGGAACAAGAGTGTCTCAAATTCAGAATTGTTCAGCATTACATTTCTATTTCAAAATCATACCACTCTGCGACACTGGTATAAAAATTCAATGCCGTAACATCCCAAACATTAGCAGTTCACAAAAAGGGTCGCCGTCTCGCAGAACAGGTAATAAATAACTCGCCAGCACCGACCCACGCTTTGTTTTTCACAAAGGACCTTTGACCGCGTAACCCATAGATATGCGCAACCCAATGATGACCATAGAACCACGGAGATGCGACGCCACGCCATGAGCAAGCGTCGCCCAAGCAAACCCAAGCGAACACACGATATAAAAGGCCATGGTATAACAGACAAGATGAGCTGACATCCCAGTCGCCTCCAGCAAACACGCTACTGTAGAAACCCTGGCCGAGATCTCAATTCCGATCGCACAAAGTCGTATGAGCTTAAGTGTAAAGCCACCCTCTTGCTTAGATTGCGCAGTCCTGATTCATCCTGTGTAACTCGGTACAAGCAAAGTGGGACCTTAGCTCGGAGCATAATTCGCCCTTCGCCTAAAATATTAAGTACGCCGTAACTTCAAGAAGAAAACATAAGATAATACTTTGTAATGACGGATTCCTCTGGGCTCGACATTGTAAATATAATTATGGACAAGCTGTTTAAATAATTATAATAAATAACTCCAATAGTTGACACGTGTTTACTTGTCACTATGGACTGAATAGTCCGAGATAACTGTATAGATTACAAAACATAATAAGGTACCTATGCAGGTACAACTAAACAATATTCATACAAAATGAATAAACATTTCTTTAAATTTAAGCAACTTCTGCTATCCTGATTATTTTCTTCCAATACGAGAATAGAATAATTCTTGTAAGAAACTAAGGCTAAGAACTCATGGAGCGGTTTTCACGCCCGCCGCGGTAGCGGGACCGCGGCCTCCGAAGAATGTAGAAATGTATGTAAAATTTAGTCGCACATTTCACGACGCGTTTTACGCCCGCAGCGGAGACGGTTTTGCTCGCGGCGGCCGCAAACCGCCCGCTTGGCGGACGTCGCTCGCGTACTCTGCGGTCGGTTCGCGGGCGACGCGTTGCACGCGCGCGGGTGTGGGTATTTCCTTCCCACGCCATTTTGTGATTGATTTTCGATTTGGCAGTGCGTCTCAATTTCTCAAGTTATGGATGTTGAAGTCGATCAATTAATTTCCTACCAGTTACCATTTTTCTTAAAAGTTCTGAATAAGTAGATACGGACATCCGATTGAATAACTGACAAACGAAGCGCCATCTTACGAATTTCGTGGGTTTTCTATCAAAGCTATCACAGAAGCTTCATATTGCGCCAAATGTATACTAGACAGCGCTTATCTAAATTACTAATATTCAACGGGGCCAATATACTGGCCATATTACCACCTTTTCCTCTATTCGTCACAATATTGTATGATATATCGAAATAACTTTAGTCAAATGTAGTGCTTTCATATTCATATTTTTATGCCTGCATCGCGGATTAATGTCTCGATTACGGAAGTATGGTCATGAAAGAGAAAAAAGTGCGAGTTTGTATAAATATAAATAAATAAATATTAGACAACATCTCATACGTTGCTCTGATCCCAAAGTAATTACCCAAAGCACTTATGTTATAGAAATCGGAAACAACGATGGTATGTACCACAAACACCCAGACCCGAGACAATATAGAAAAGTTAGTTTTCTACACTAAGCCGGTCGAGGCAGAGATGGCGACACCATGAAAGCCAGTCTATCACGGAGGTCATCATTAACGACACATTTATAAATAACAAATTATAAGCTCGACACAGAAAAAACATCAGTAGCAGTGGCTTTTATAATCATCAATTGAGAGGCCACTCTCTAAAGTTAAACATGCCTCCGTGTGCTAGCAACCCTAGAAAACACTTCTTACCATTTCGCGTTGTGAACTTGTGGAATTCGCTCCCAGAAACTGTTATTAGTGCACAGACAGTGAACAGTTTCAAAGCTAGACTTGATAAACATTTTGGAAACGAATAATATACAAGTGCAGTGATATACACGCATCAGCTCGCAGAGCTGCTAGTGTATTAATTGATAATAATAATAATAATAATATGAATGGGGCGTGCACGGAAGAAAAAAAAACAATGGAAGTACCTTAAGCCTCGATTATTATTGGAACCGCACACAAACAAAATAATAAACGCACGCACACAAACAAATGATAAACACTCAACACTACGAAATCATGATAAATCATGATTGGTCATAGTTTCTATTTTAAAAAGATGTAACAAATTCTGGATTGGTAATATAATTTAAACTTTACCCACTCGCTATATCGATCGTTGAAAGTTTTTTATGGCTATGTTGGATGTGCGCGTTTTAAAGTTCAATATTATTCTTCTATAGGTCATGAACTACGAAGTATTAGGAATATATTCCCTACACTGACCGACATGAACTAGTTCATCTTGCACGGTTTTAATAGTTCATCGTTAGTTTTAGTTCAGTACGAACTAGGAACTGCCTGCGATGATAGTTCACCTGTCTTTTATACAATAGGAACGGTGCGAGCGGGACAAATAGCAATCTTTCACTACTTTTAGTACAAGTTCGAGTGGGATGCACGATATAACGTTCCCAGCTCGTTCTAAGTCTCTAATACGTATCTACTTACATATGTATACTTATACAAGTTTGCAAAATTTTTTTTTTTTTGGTAGGTATCTGTATGTATAATTTCAACCTACGTGTACCAGTATTTGAAATAGTTGTATCTAAATATTGATTTTAAACACACCATTCTAACCAAAATTCTTATTTTGTAAAAAAACGGATATTTAGTTAGAATTACAGTCTTTAAACCTGTAAAATATGAAGGAAAATCAAATAGTGCCGATTCCATGCAAAATGTATTTTTAAATATTTAGTACAGTGTATTATTCACCTCATAATATTAGAAGTCCGTAGTAGTTCATGTGAATAAAATTACTAGTTTGGAACGTTCGTTCAATGTCCAAGCAAGGACAAGACGAACTAACTAACTAAGGAACTAAATGAACTAGAAGATCGACCTAGTTCAGTTGTCCGATTGAACTAACTAGGATCGCTCCCGCTAAGGATCGATCAGGCACAAGTCTATTCAATATCTTTATTGCAAGTTACGACGTTTTGATTTTATATTGAAATTTTATTCAATGTAGTGCTGCCATCTTGCGTCCAGTAGCTGGACTACGACGAACGATTAGCATCTGAATCAATTCGATAAACAGAAAATTGAAAATGTATTATAACAAGCCTTAGCGATGATATGAAATACTAGTACGGCTAATATTTTTGGTGCGGCCATGGTGCGGCTATCAATTTTGTACTCCAAAACACAATATGGCACTTTTCTGCGAATTTAATGAATTCGCGCTAAAGAAAGAAACGACAATACCATAATAATCTCAAATAGGTCTTTCGAAGCCTAATGTTGACAAGCGTCGTACGCTAACTAACCACGTCTAACTGTATTGATCTGTAAAGGTGTGCGACCCGTGCTGTGCAACTCGAGCGCACCGCGAGTTAAAGCGAATGTGTGCGTCCGTACAGGGTACGCGCGGTTGGCGTATACATTTGCAAGTCCGCTGTTACGTATAAGTGGAGTTACACTACTTGTCTTGTTATACTACGGTGTTCGCTTGATTTTTATGCAGTAGGTCCGACTACTATTTCCAACAAGGACATATACTATTCTTTTCAACATCTATGCAGTTTACTTTTCTATTCCTCTATAACAAGATTACTGTGACAGTAAAGTTGTCGTTAGCTACAGCATAATTTACTACACAATTTTGTATGGCAAATTATACAGCGCCTCTAGCGGTCACGAGAAGAAACAACATTTTTTATACAAATATACTCAAACATCATTACTTACGCGGTCTCTAGCGAAAACTGTCACTCGTTATCTTAGAATGACAACCTCATAATTATGTGATTACTATGTAATTTCTCACGACGAAGATAAAAATGTGGTGTAACATTGTACACCAGTAAACGTAAACGCAATAGGTAATGTTAGTAGTCAGCATTTTAATTAGTTAAATTATATTTTTCTTATTTTTATATCATTTTCTTATTTAATTATACTTCGAATACTATAATATAGTAATATTATTACTTTAATAATATATTTGAGCGAGAACTTTATAAGTTTTTCTTCAACAAAAATCAGTAAAAAAAAAAGTATATGAAAACGCGTATAAGGCGACGCACTGTAATCTCATGATAGAGGCGCCTTTGTGTCAGAAATATAAAGTGTTCAATTGCAATTACATGCTCTGTATTACTATCATTAAAATATGGAATAGCCATTCTATATCAGAGATTTCTTAACAAAAGGAATGTTTTAGAAAATCATTTTATCTACACACATATCATAAACCCTCTATGATGTGTTCAAAAACCAGCGTAAAGATAAACTGTTTTGTTAGAACAAATTTCTTATCTGTGAAAATGTTTATCATCAAATTCAATTAAATTATTTAAATTTTAATTAAATAAAATTAGCTTAAAGGTAGTATGCTTTTACTGTTGTAATAATACAAAATAATATATCAACAATGAAACCTTCTGTTATGAAGTGTCATATCAAATAAGTATACCAATTTGTTGATAATTATTTTCTGAGTGTTCGATCGTTGTATTAATAATTATAACAAAATAGTGGAGTAATTTCCCAAAAAATAATTGAATATCAATTCAATAAAAATTTAAAAAAACCAAATGGCTGGCTGAAAAATGAATGAACACCACAGATCACATAAATAATAGGGGTTAAAGTATGAAATTGCCGATTTGTACTGAAAATCTAAATTGTTTATTTTTTAAATTTTTAACAAATTTATTTAATCAAAATAGTTGCCATTATTATCTATACATTGCTGCCATCTAATGGGAAGGTTATTAATGCCTTTGCGATAGAACTCCGACGATCTAGACTGCACAAACTGTGTGAAAGCATTTTGTACTGCCTCCTGGGAACAAAACTTCTTGTCACGTAGATAATTGTCCAAATCACGAAAAAAATGGTAGTCCGTTGGAGCAAGGTCTGGTGAATACGGAGGATGACGAATGGTTTCTAACTGCAGTTCCTGAAGGGTCAAAATGGTTTCTCGTGCTGTGTGAGGTCTCGCGTTGTCGTGGAGCAATAATGGTGAAGATCGATTCATGAGTCGGGGCTGGTTTACTGCTAGTTTTGTCAACATTGTTCGGAGTTCGGCACAATAGACATCTGCCGTTATTGCTTGACCAGATCGGAGAAAACTATAGTGAATAACACCATGCTGAGACCACCAAACAGTTACCATTACCTTTTTATTGGTAAGTTTTGCTTTAGGACACTGTTGTGGCATTTGACCTGGGGTCAGCCATTGCATTTTTCTTTTCCGGTTATCATAAAGAATCCACTTTTCATCACATGTTACAATTCGATCCAATATTCCTTCATTTCTGTACCGGTTCAACAAGGCAACACAAGTTTCAACACGCGTTTCTTTCTGCAGATCAGTCAAATCATGAGGCACCCATTTTTCGTATTTTTTTATTTTATTGATTTGACGCAAGTGAGTCAATATTGTGGGTAAGGTAACGTTAAACCATGCCGCTAATTCCTGGGTAGTTTGACTAGGATCGGCTTCCACTATCTAACTTAATTCATCGTTATTCACCTGTGTGGGCGGTCTTCCTCGTGGCTCGTTCTTTAAGTCGAAATTTCCATCACGAAAGCGTTTAAACCAAAATCGCACGGTGCGTTCATTAGTAGACCCCTCTCCAAACGCAGCATTGATATTTCGGGCTGTTTCTGCCGCGTTAGTTCCGCGTCGGAACTCGTATTCAAAAATCACTCGAATTTTCGCAGTATCCATCTTTCTTGTCTAAATTGAATAACAAAAACAATTGAAAGTCGATATTCAAATGTTTCAAATTTAAAAAAAAAAAATGACAGAAACCATTTGAAAAAAGTTTCATTCGAAAACCTCAAACCATGAAGATTCTATGAAAATTCAAAGAACCTATTGCAATAAAACGGCAATTTCATACTTTAACCCCTAATACTAGTAAATGTACACCCTATTAGAAAGAGATGCATTGCTACTTTGAAGCCTCTCACTCGGCTCGTTTCATAAACTTAGTTTACTAAACATTGACTTGTAAGTCAATGTTACTAAACAAATCCGTGATTCGATTTCAATTCTAATATCAGTCCAGACGAAGGTTTATTCGAAATGAAATGTCGATAGAAATCAATTTTGACAAATCTCACATGTTACTTGATATCTTTAGAGGATTGAAAAAAAAGTCTCCATAGTCTAAGGATTATTCGCACCAGTGCTTTTTACTTTTCCATTTTTTATTTATTTACTATTATTTCAAGTCTTAAACATAGAACTAAAGAGGTTGTATATTTATTTAATATTTATGTGCTTTGTGACGTAAGTCATTCGTCATTAAAACTTATATTTACTTACAAACATCTTATTTGTTTGATTGTATAGGTGTTTTATAAACTTGTTTTATAAAACACCTATGCAATTATAAATCTCTTGAGGTTACATTTAAAAATACCAAAATATTTTCCATAAAGATGGCTGATTGAGTATTAACAGTGACCGGATGTGAGTATTACGCGAGACCGCTGCGCGCCGCGCCATTAAAATAGTAATTTTAATGTGGCTGAATACTGGCAACAGTTACCATTGTACTCTGAATTTTTATTAGATAAAGAATAAAATTAGTTTTTTAAACTGTTTTAATTTACTGTCAATGTAGTTTTTTCGCACATGTAATAAAAAATGTCGTTGGATATACGTGCGGATTTGTCATTTTCAGTTGTCTCGAGTCAGTCAAGCCTCGAGACTCGTGAATAATGACTAACTTTCCGCACTTGTATCAAAAATAACTGTTTTGGCATTATTTTACTAATAATTACCGATTATAGCTCTGATCAATGCCCTCAATGCCAGTCGTAACATGCGGTTCCTGAACACATCACAGAGAGCTTTTAATATGTGTATAGATAAGGCAGTGTATGTGACTGTACATAAAATTAGGCATTAAAACACTCGTGTGATGTTTAAGGCTTTTCGTCATGTAACAATCACATAAACTACTATATATTTCATCAAAATGTGCACCATTGCCACGTTGCTGGAATCTTATTCATTTCTTTGGAGTAAACTATTGGGCGATGCTAGTGGGGAATAAGAATCCATAAAAAGAAAAATGCGAAAAAGTGAAAACAGTTCGGTAATCCACACCGTATTTATTCATTTAGGTCATTCGCCCCATGATCTCAGGGAATTCATTATGGCACCATGTACTTGTTTTTTATTTTTATTACATTTTATTGCAGACGATCCCTATTGGGTAGAGCCTGACGAAGAAGACGAAGGCATTACAGAGTAAGGTTAACCTCAAAAGCATATAAAAAGTATTGTTGTATGAATGGTCTCCGAACGAAAAAAGGGACAATTTGTTTTTAATTGCGTTCGAGAAGATTCAGGGTCCAGAAAACAATTTTTTTTAGAATTCATGAAAAGGTACAAACAGACATCCCAACAGAGGTCCCAGGTTCGATTCCCGGGCCGTGAGAAATATTTGTATGGCCTACATTTATTTTTCTCCTGAGTTTGGGTGTAATTTGTGGTTGTCTATGTGTGTGTCCATGGCACCCGCGACACAGGGTTTCCCCAGTGCAGGGTTATGTTGAGTGTGAGAGTTATTATTATTATTATAGATATAGAAAAAAAGGGTACTACTGATATCAGTAATCAGGTTCTTTACCATAAAATGTCATAATTGACATTTGTAATCAGTCCTCCGTACGAAAAAAGCACAGTTAACATTTGTAACAAACTTGTGTTAAAAAACCTTTACCTACTTACTACTTTTTTGAAGAAATGTATCTCAATAATTCTGCCGCTGTTAGTTGAAAGGGGGCTTGTGAGAAAGCTGAAAACCGAGAAAATAATGTTTAAAGAAATTAAATAAAAAGAAGATCTGCTTTTCTCTACCGGAACTTCATACCTTACTCATCTAGGAAAAGAATAAATAAATATAGTGGCAGATTGGCATTTTTAATCACGACTGTCGTTCATCATCTTTTACCATTATCCTAAGAACACTTATATGAAATTATTTTACTTAGTAACTAGCAAAATAGGGCACTGTGCAATTATTATAGTAATTCAATTACAATAATCACGACTATCATTTTGTCGTCACTTGCGAGTACGCTTCGGGCACACTAGATGGGGTTGCCATGCTATAAACTAATAAAAATAAAAGAATAAACGGTATCATAGAACAAACGATAGAATAACTAATAATAATAAAAAAACTGAGAAAAAACTTCTTTTCTCAGAAAAACATACAACATTTTTAAACTAATTCTCTCTTAGTCAGCAGAATCGAATCAAATTCTATTTTAATCAGCAGTTGTACTCTATACGCAACAACCTTTTCCTATGCAAATGTATTTAGTGGTTCCATCCAGTCTATCTACAGCACTTAGTGTAAAGCTTTTTGGAACAATAAATTATTATCATTATTAATATATTATATAATATGAAAAGTCTTGTTTAGAAACTCAAAATAGTTTTAGTTTACGTAGTGAAGCATACGTTCTACTTAGGAGAGTGTTGAAACACAATAAAGGCTGATTATGTTGGATATAGGTATCATAACAATGATAAAGGGGAACGCCCTTATCATACTTCCACTAATTTGTTATTTCGTGGTTGTAAGCATACTTTTTTCAGACTAGAGGTAGCAACGGATGCCAACGGTAGTACATACACTTACTACCATCATACGACGCCACGACCTGATCCTTTGCCCTCAACAAATGCCATCGAATTTTATAAACAAGTAAGTTTTCAATGAGACAGGACAAAGTTTAAAACCATTTTATTCACCACCAACAACCGGCGCGGTAAACGGAGCCAGAGGCATCGCCCAGTAGTTTGCGGCCTTTGTGAGCAGATGACCAATTGTCAACTCACCATATTCTCATCTCACCACATTTGCGGCGGCAAAGTGACGAAACGAGAGTGTGACCGCGATGTCGATACTAAGACGTGAACTTTTTATAGTACCTATTTCCTTTATTCAGTATGAGTTATTTTGGGAAAAAGAAGACGTGAACCTGAACTACAAATAAAAAAACAAAAGGTCGAGGTTCATCGAAATTACGATGACCACAGACAAAATCCAAAATACATAAGTTCTATGATTACTCTAGCCCTTTCGGGACGGTCTAGTACGATTATGCGGGTCGCAAAATCGAATTCATCTCATCGGTTTTACGTCTGTATTGGGCGGGCCCCGTGCGACACGATTATGCGAAAGCCAGACCTTAAACTCCCGCGTAAATATCGCGCCTACGTCAGTCAGCCAACAGTTTCGAACAAGTAAGTATCATTTTCTACATATTTTTATAAGTATAGCTAATTATTATTTGTTGATTCATTAGATATATCTACAATAAGTGTTTTGAATACACGTACACCGATAAATAATTAAAAAAGAGTGGTGTGGTGGCGTTTCAAACTTTTCCCACACAATTGTATCAATCTGGGCCGTACGTTACTTCTCGCGTCTATTAAAACTAACTTCACCTCTTCACTTTGCATAGCTATTTAAAACTTTTTTTACATATTTTTTAAATGGTAGATGAAAACTCATCTTCGCGTTATAAATACCGTGTCGCTCTATGACGCTACAGTACCGAAATCGTCTCTAGGATTTGCGATGGGCTAAAGCTACTTTGAAAGAGCTGTTTAAGACCCTAACACCCAGCTGGATCGGGAGGGATATTGCTGTCGGTGGAAAAAGATTGACTAATTTACGTTTCGCCGACGACATTGTTCTCTTCTTTTCCTCAGCTACCGAACTCGGCACAATGTTGAACCAACTCAACACCGCAAGCCTCAAGGTTGGACTCTGCATGAACAGGTCGAAGAGCAAACTAATGACCAACTCCATAGGACACAGGCTAATGGTCTATGAAACATCCGATGAAAGGCGACTTACCACTCCTGCTTTAAAATAAAACTCATGGGCGTGTGCATTCTATTCACCTTCACCTACGGCGCACGAATCTGGTCACTGACTGCTCGGATTACGTCTAAACTTTGGGACTGCCAACGAGCTATGGAGCGCAGCATCCAGAATTCGAAACGGTAACCTGAACTCGAAAACATGAATCGCAGATGTGGGTCAACAAGCGGATAAACTAAAATGGGATTGAGCGAGTCACGTCTGCCGCATAGCGGAGGAGTCGTGGGCGAAAGCCACCACAGACTAGATCCCCAACGAGAGGAAACGACCATATGGCAGACCAAAGCGTTGGTGGAGAGACGAGCTAGACGTGCACCTTAAAGAGCGCACGGACCTCAGTGGCGCAAGACAGGGAGGTGTGGAGAGAGAGGAGAGAGGTCTTTACTTAGCAGTGGAACAGTACAAAGTTTAAAAAAAAACTTAGAAAATATGTTTTGTTTAATAAATTTTGATCTATTCAAGCTTAGTCAATTTAAAGACTTTAAATGACTTAATGAATCATTGCACCCCAATAGACCGAGCGCGCTTGGAAGCGGCGTCCAGGTGGGAATCTGGCCACTGGCTACACGCGTTCCTCTCTGCCAGTGCAGGTACCTTCCTTTCGCATAGCTGCAGGCCTCCGCCTCGGTGTCCTAGTTTGCTCCCTTCACGACTGTCCTTGCGGCAAAGACGTAAGTGCTCTGGGTCGCCACAGTCGTTCCTGGCAGCTGAGCGCCGGCCGTATCTCCCGGCATGCAGCCCTCAACGACATCATCCGCCGGGCCTTAGCCACTGTTAACGTGCCCGGTATTTTCGAGCCAAGCGGCATGTCGCGAACAGATGGCGAACACCCGGACGGAATGTCTCTCATCCCTTGGATTATGGGCCGGGCACTGGTGTGAGACGCCACACACCAGCAAGAGGGCTAGCTCCGCAGCTGAGCTGGCGGAAAGAATAAAAAGCAATAAGTACCAGGATCTCGGCTCCGAATACTTATTTCCAGCCTTTGGAGTCGAAATCTTTGGCCCGTGGGGCCCCAGTGCCCTTCATCTATACAAAATTTTATCGAAAGAATTAATAGACTGTCTGGGAAACCCAACGCATTAGCATAGCAATACAAAGGGGAACGCTGCCAGCATCTTGGGCACCTTGCCGCGGGGACCCAATTTTATTCATATAATTTAAAAATCCTAGTTTTACTCTCTAGTAGTTAAGCTTTTATTATCTTTTTTACCTTACCTGTATATTATCTTAAACAATTCAAACATTTTACTGTTACAATTTTCATATTTTCAGCTATTTCAGCTTTGTGACAAAATCTGAAAAATGCATTTTAACTTCGATTGTTTTTAATAAAGTTTGAGTAAAGCTGACTAAGTCGATGTTAAAGGATGTTAATAATTTTTTTTGTACCCCTATATATGCCGGCGGGTGTACTATATAGTAATTTGTATTCTGTGATTGAAGACATAAAATTTGGTCGAGATGTCCAACAAACGACGAGTGACTAACAATGATAATGTCACCACACATATGTCGTATATATTCACCATTTTCAGAAGCAGTTTCTTTGTCACAACCTGTCTTATTTATAATATCTCTTTTTGGTTATAGTTATTTGAGCAAACAGAACGAGGTTTAGATTACGCCACCAAATCAGACAGAGAGCTTTTGATGAATATGTCTTTGGAGTTATCACGGGTAAGAAAGCATTCGAGACAACTTATGCACTAAGTTCCCGGCTGAACCAAGTTAGGAAACTTCATATTCTAAATTGGTGTCGACCTGGTTGTTCTGGCTGGTTAGTCACTAGGGTTTTCCTCCCGGGAATACCGGCATCGAAAATTTCGAGTCTCGACAATTTTTTGACAAATTTTCAGTCTCGAGAATATCGAGATTTAAGTCATTTAATTAAAAAGTATTACAAATGTACTAAACCATCAGTATTTTTTTATTTTTAATACTATACAGTGTAGCTTAGTACAATTTGTGGAGATCGTAGAACGGTAGTAACATAATTAGGTCCTCTACATCTGAATCTGTACTAAACACCCATTACACACTATAAAAATAAAACAATAACTTTCCTAAACAATTTTTCATTTTATAATTTGTGTTAATAAAGAACTTAATTAAAATATCATGTTTAGACTGCCTAAATGGCTAGTTTATATAATAGAGTTCGACCAGGGAAGTACCTACTGCCGCTTTACCTATTTCTGCCGCCAAGCAGTAGTGTGAGCATTACTGCGCTTCGGTTTTGAAGGGCAAGGGTGCTTGTGAAAATATATATATATTATGTGAAAATATATATAATATATATTACGAGACTTGTCAACTAATTTCTCAGAGTGACAGGCGCAGCAGTAGCAGTGACAGGGGTAACAGTGTCCCTCAGGTCTTTGCTATTTAAAGTTCTGAGTAGCAATGCAACTGCTATAGACAGACGTGTCGCTTAACACCAAGCGCAGGACTTGCGCCTGATGGTAAGCTACGCCTGTCCATAACAGTTGCAGTGTCATAAAAAAATCTAGACATGAACTATCTATCGACACCAATAGTTATGGCGCATTTACACCGGTTGGTGTAAATACTGAGTCTAAACGACTATAGTCAACCGAAGCGACTAGGTGTAAACATCAAGGGCGACACATTCGGCAAGCGACAAAGAGAAAGTCAATTTCTTTAAGGGCACAGGTATTCTGAACTTACGTTTTTAGCATTTCGGTATGTTCAGGAAATTGTGCCCTCTCCAGAGGGAGCATACATGTCTTCGAAGCCCCACGTACGTAGTAGTACTACTACGTACGTGGGGTACTACTACGTACGCTTTAGTGGACTGACAGATAGAAGTGTACACTATTTTGAACAACCATTATTTTGTTCGCAGATTTTCGTAAATTCTTAAAAACGTATATAAGTCTGCGAACACGATTAGCCATAACCACTATAAGCCGCCCAAAATCCAGTTACTCAACAAAGACAGCACCAATATATTTAATAGCTGGTGTTCGGCCAATGCATGCACATGTGCATTTTGATGATGTTTGTTATTGACGAGTCGGTCCAGTCGGTGCTGAGTCCTTAGTCTTGTGAAGGCAAACAAATTTTGTTTTGGAGACATTGTATGGCCTACATTTATTTCTCTCATGAGTTTGGGTGTAATTTGTGGTTGTCTACCTACGTGTGTGTCCATGACCCCCACGATACACGGTTTACAGGGTTTTTATTTCAGGTTTTTCCTTTAGTGCGGGGCTTTGAGTGTGTGTGTTATTTATTTATCATTATTTGAGCACAACGGGTGGCACTAAATCGATACACAACACTCACGATATCCGGCGACTTGTAAGGCGATACTTGCTGTGCCTTACATTTGCTGATAACTGGATACTCTGGTCTACTGAAGGCGGCCAACGACCCGGTGTAAATGCGCCATCATTCCATGATTAAGGCGGTATAGTTTTACTGCGAGTACTTTTCTGTCTGTGCCACCACATATATTCCCATAGACTTTCGAAGCAAAACGGATCTTAGGTTAATTCAAAACTATTATCTATTTTCAGGAGGCCTATTTTACAATTCGTACACTGGATCCTTTAAAGGCGAATCATAAAAACACGATAGCGTACAGTGTTGGCCTAATCATAGGTAAGTGATCGTTTCCACATACCTTGTAATAGTGACGCAGTTTTATACATAAATCTCGTATAGTAAAGTATTAGTGAAACGTAATAACTCAAATTTTACAAGGAAATTAAGGTCTGTTACACAACAGAACAATAAATACTGTAGAAGTACTTAGTGGGCGTGTCAAGTAAGCTAACAATACGCGGAGTTCCGCAAATTTGGGCTAAGCCGCTATTTTCGCTTAGTATATTATGGGTCTATTATATCAAGCAATACCTCGAAAATCTTGGAAAGATGCCTTATTTTGCTACTTAGGAGTGCAAAAATGATAGTTGATCCTATTCATAATAATATATTTATCCATAGTGCTGTTTCATATATAAACGTGAATTATTTTATTTAATTTTAATGAATTTTATCGACAATAGATTCTTTATTATAAGAAACGAAAGTAAATCTTATTGCGTTGCAATACGATCGACTGTTATCGTCGTCTTTCAGCTAATGAGATTTTAATATAAAATCATAAGGTCGTCGTAACTTGCAATAATAGGTACCTATTGAACTTTCAACGATATGCCTACAGGGTAAAGTTTAAATTATATTAACATTCCAGAATTTGTCACATCTTTTTAAATTAGAAACTATAAATCATTGTCAACATTTTATGGTATTTAACTTCATGCTAGCGTGAGTTTTGGCGACAACGGTTTAGTAATCGAGGATAAAACCCATTTCATTGTTGTTTCGGCGCATTTAATAATTTTGGCACGTGTTACGCATGCCATTCCATGCAATACCCGTCACTACCCAGTAGCCCCTTGGGTTCTGTTCTCTGTTTGGAGTTCGGCACTTTAAAAATGGTTATATGCAATTCCCCAACATAGCGTACGTATTCCCCTCACATTGCAGGAAAAATACGCGAAAAATACAGGAAACAGATGGCAATCTATGCGGAAGTAAAAGCAAGGATAGCATTTGACAATAGTCCGAAAAGAAGCCGAGTGTACGGTCATTCATTAAAGGAGTTTCGGCCGTAAGTAATTTATATTAGCTCGTACTATTTAAGTTACTAATAATAATTTAGAGTCACACAAAAAAACGAGTGATCCAAATGGATCAGAACCCCTTTCGCGTCTTCAAGTTTTTAGAAGCATTTTCACAATTTTTCACATGTCTTAGAATATTTTTTAATTTTCCTTTATTAAACCGAAATTAACAATATATAAACTTGATAAAAGTAATAAAAAGGTTTTGTTAATAAAAGTTAGTGTTTAAAAAAGATTGAGTTTTAGTTTTATATTTAAATTCTAACTTTAAATGTGATTGTTTTTGGCGCCTTTTCTTTACTTTTGTTGAAAGGAGAATCTACATATCTACAACGACAGAGAACCTACACTGTCTATTACAGAAACCAATTGTTTTTTTTAATAAATTTATACAGCACATGCACAATTAAGTATTAATAAACTCGAAGTCAACTTCCATAGTCTAAGAGTCAACTCAAGTTTTCTTAGAACTTAACGCCAAAGTTACCCGAGAGCACAAAATACTCTATACTGTTATTATAAAAATAAAATACTTCAAATTGCCAATCTGCAACACACGTATTTTATTGCAAACGTATTTATAAACGAACACTGACTCGTAGTTCAAGGCTTGTCGGATATTTGCCTACCCAAATAAATGGCTGAAATTTTTTAAAAACAATTAAAGAAATACCTAATAATAAATAATAATAATGATAATGATGATGATGATGACAATAATAATTTTTAGAGTCTAAAATAGATATAATAATAATACCTACCTCATAAAATTTCCGTTCCTAATACAAACAACCTAAAACAGAAACACATTGAAAAAATACAAAAATACATACCTTTAGCAGACGAAATCAAAGAGATGTGGCACCAAGAAACCATTAAGTCCCCGTTATATTTCGTCAACTGGTATCAAACCGAAAACCATACATACCGCCTTAAAAATTATAGATCTGCACCCTAAAACCTACATAGCTCTACAAAAGTCAATTGTACTAGACACATGCTCGACAGTCCGCCGTTTCTTAAATACACATGATTCAACAAACTCCACAAAAAATCACCACTCACTCACATCCCCTCACAATACCACAACTGAATCAGAATACTTCCAAATATCCGACCTTCAATTACAATAATGTTAAATTAGAATTAAATATTATATATATGTACTTAATTATTAATAATTGAAATCCAATGTCGCAGTATGGTTGAGTCGCAACTACGAGCTATACCAGCTATAATGCTATTAGTACTATCTAGCACTCTCTATCTAAGAGAAGAACCCGTCTGTACGTGCTAACAAAAACATTTCAGATGCACTACAGTATCTTGGCAATTTAAACATAGTTCTAAATACATTGAACGCGGATGGCATTGTACGCTTGTTTGGTACAGTTAACCCACAAACTACACGTATATCAGACTTAAAGAGCGTTACTTTAACTTGATCTGAACAGAGTGCAAATATTGTAATAAATACTGTTATTTGTTTTATTTGCTTGTCACTAGACACGCACACGTTGGATATTTTCTAATGCAATAAACACTTGGTTCTTTTTATCTTTTTAGATATATCTTTGGACTATATTACCAATACTGTCGCGAATCAGAACGAGATGTAGAGAGCATGATCGACATGTTAGAGAAAATCAATGATACGGATTTGGGCGGACTTAACAGATATATGAGATTTAAAAAAAATATTCTAAGGACTGCGATAAAGCAAGGTAACTAACAAAACAATAGAAGCTGACGAATTCACTATAAAATATGGTGAACTAAGTAAAAATGCTTTGCTTCTGTTAGTCGGTAAAAGTAAGCGAATGGTACCTACAACTTTCTTTTCAATATCAAATTACTATTACATAATTAACAATCATACAACTACCATCCACCAACTCTGCGCAGTTTCTCAGTTTCATAAAAACCCGATAGATGGTATTGACTCATTTTATGTAAATTCTGAATTTTCTGTCTTGCTGAACGATTACACAACTTGGTACTTGGTGTAACGGGCTGGTTACGATTACACAAATAAGCAGTACAAAAAGTAAGACCTGTGTTGGGTTACGATCCCAACATTTTTATCACAAATAAGTTATTTTACTTATTATTAAGTATTTTATTCATGAATCGAGGTTACTGATGTTGGAAATTATGAAATTTGTATCTGACCTTTGCCAGGTAACGTCATCCCATAAATTTATGGAATGTATTTTGTTTGTTACTTTTGGAATAAACTTTTTAAATTCCTCTTTTGATGACTATGTATGTTCAAAGGCCGCCATCAGCAAGTAGAGGAATACAAAAAACGCAACCGACGTAAATACTTGCGGAAGAAACTAGGACTCAATGAGAACAGTCAACTTCCCGACAGACATTTTAAGGTACGTACAGGGCGTAATACCACCGTCCTTATCATAAACAACGTAACCGACATATTCAGCGAGATTGAGTTATTAACGCATCTGGAATCAGCAATACGAGATCTACAATCATCTATAATCTCACTTTTATTCATAAGCAAAATCAGCGTAAAGACATTTTTCAAAGATAAAAGAAACTTTAGGTGCCAATATCTCGTAAGTTACCAAAATGTAAATGCGTTGTATATGACAAGGCGGGCAGAATGCATCCCTAAGCGCCCAGTTAAACGACGCGAAAGTCTTCGCGCGGCCGCCGCATGGCGACTGCCCAGTCACCACGCTTTCACGCCAGCACAACAAGCTACACATTGACGTATCTTGTTCCGTTGCAATGGAGGCGAATTTCGAACAAAAATGTGTAGTCTGGTGTGCCATTGTCCGTACATTAATGGCGAATTTGAATTCTATTTACTCGGCAACAACATTTAAATTCCTCTGAGTAATACAAACGCTCGGTCACCGTTTAGACCAAAAACAAGCTAGGCTCGTACGCGCGCCCAGGATGCTCATTTAAGTTAAAACGTAAAAGCTAAATGTATAGAGCGTACTTTGCCATGACAGTCACATGCACGCGGTCGCTACGCGGGGGCAGCGCGGTGAGAACGATGAAGTTCGTGTGTAGTAATGCGCCCTAACTCTATTCTTTTACGCATAGTAGATTGTTTATTTATTTATTTATTTATTTATTTATTTATTTATTTACACTTACATAATAAGCT